TTCATCCATTCATCATCCATCCATCCATCCTTCCATTCATCATCCATCCATCCATCCATTCATCCATACCCATCCATTATCTTCTACTTGTTCCAAAGTTGGGTCTCGGGGTCCAGACATCTCTTTCCACAGCCACTTCTTCTGGGAGGACTCCAAGGTGTTCCCAGGACAATTGAGACATAGTCTCTCCAGCGTGTCCTGGATCTTCCCCGAGGTCTCCTCCCAGTCGTCTCCTCCCAGTCAGGCATACCCAAACCACCTCAACTGTCTCCTCTGGATGTGGAGGAGCAGCAGTTCTACTCCGAGTCTCTCCTGATAACTGAACTTCTCCCCCTGTCTCTAAGGGAGAGTCCAGCTCTGCAGAGGAAACTCATTTCAACCTCCTGGATCCACGATCTCATTCTTTCAGTCTCTACCAGAGTTCATGACCAGAGGTGAGGGAGGAACATAGACTGACCAGTAAACAGAGAGCTTTGTCTTACAGCTCATCTCCCTCTTCACTACAACGGACCGGCACAGAGGCCACAATACTGTAGATGCTGCACCAGTCCGTCTGTCAATCTCACGCTCCATTCTTCACTCACTCATGAACAAAACCCTGAGATACTTGAACTCCTCCACTTGAGGCAGAACCTCACCCTGGACCTGAAGAGAACAATCCACTCTTTTGGAGGTGCTGGTTCTCATCCCAGCTGCTTCACACTCAGATGTGAACCGCTCCAGTGAGATCACGGCACGATGACGCCAACAGGACCACATCATCTGCAAAAAGCAAAGATTAATCCTGAGGGCGTTTAATCTCTGAGGTTAAATAATTCATGTAAAACATCTGAGCAGCTGCTCTTCAGTCATCCAGCAGAAATAATCTGAAGTAAACATTTCCTCTGCGCCTCATGTTTCAAATCTCTGAGCTGCAGTTCAGGAATTATTCATGATGCTTTCATGTGTGTGTGTGTGTGTGTGTGTGGGGGGGGGGGGGGGCATCACGTCCAACATCAGAGCCGAGCAGCTTCCAGGCTCTTCGGCTGATAAAGAGCAACACGGTGCAGAGGAGGTTCAGTTTACGCAGGTGGGACTTGAATCCTCTTACTTCTATTTTAAAACCAGTGAGGTCGATCAGAGTGAAGTCAAACTGAATGTGATGGTGTGAAACCTGGAGCGACAGAAATATCTAACACAAATTATTAGAAGTATCTTATTCGGCTGCTGCTTCTTCACAGTGAACTAACTCACACGAAGACCTGGCGATTGTTTGTACGCCGGATGTTCTTCCTGACACAGCCACCGAGCCACCGCAGCCTCTGTGTGGAGCAGAGAGCTGCCATGTAGGGGGTCGTGGGGGGCAGATGGTGGGGGCCTTGCTCAAGGGCCCGGAGTGGGACAGATGAGGGTGGAGGCAGGTGTGGGAGCTTCACCTTTAACATCCACATTTTGATGTTGGTCCAGAGAGTTGAACCGGCGACCTTCCGATCACAGGCCCGCCTTCTCTAACCTCTGCTAGTTATGTTTCAAAATTCAACAGAAGAAGAAGAAAAATAATAATAAAGAAACAGAATGGTGGCACGGGGGCTCAGTTGGTAGAGCTGCTGCCTCTCAGCGAGCTGGTTGTTGGTTCAAATCCCATCTGGGAGCCTTTCATGGTGGAGTTTGCATGTTCTCTCCGTGCATGTGTGGGTTTTCTCCAGGTACTCGGGTTTCCTCCCACAGACCAAAAACATGCATGTTAGACTGACTGGTAACTCTAAACTGTCCCGAGGTGAGAGAGAATGATTGTTTGACTCATTTGTCTCATTTGTCCCTGTGATGGACCAGAGACCTGTCCAGGTGTCCCCCGCCTCACACAGTGACTGCTGGACATGGACACCAGTGACCCGAAAAGGAAGAAGCAGATAAAGATGATGGATGGATGATGGATGATGGATGGATGGATGGATGATGGATGGATGATGGATGATGGATGGATGGATGATGGATGGATGGATGGATGGATGGAGAAACACAATCACATTAGTGTGTATTGAAAATGCAGACTAATTAGCAGAACTTCAGCTGGAAAAAAGCACAAAAAGTTGAAATAGGAAGAAAGAAGCTGAAAAGAAAAACAGCTAAAATGTAGCTGAGAAAGCAGAAAAAGGTCAAATTAGTGAAATAAATCAGAAATAGCCAATGAGCTCAAAAAGTAGCTGAAAGGAGCAGAAAAAAAGCCGAAGCGTTGCGTCTAAAAACACAAAGAAGTTTGATTCTCCAGCTGATGAATCATCAACAGGTTGGAATGATCTGGAGAAATCTGTGAGAGCAAAGGACAAGACGTTCCCAAGTTGTAGGTTTAAACAGCCAGTTATCAGTTCAAACGCTTGCCTCTCTGATGGTATGGGGGTGCATTAGTGTCTGGCGTGGCGTGGAAAAGCTCCATCGATCGATACACTCCACAACAGCTCAACCTTCCGGCTCGGGGTTGTATTTAACAGATTATTGACGCTGTAAGTCCATCTCTTCACCCGGTCTCAGAACTGGTTCTGCTCATAGGATCCAGATCCGTCGTACCGTGGTCTGTCAGCTGTAAACAGAGAAAACGTCTTTTCATTTCTGGGTTTGTCCGTCCTCCCTGTCCTCGCAGGATAAGCCCGGCGCTGTGAGCGTGTCGGAGCTCCACCAAGCCTTGTCTCTGGAAGCTGTGGCCGACGACAGGAAGCTGTTCCTCTTGGCTGCTCAGCTGGACTCTGAGGGCGCCAGGAGGAGGTCCTGCCAGGGTCTGGACACGGTCCACGACCTCCTCCTGCAGCTCGTCTGACCTCCAGTCCTTGGACGGCTCCACCAAAGAGGAAGAGGAGGAGCTGCTTCGTCGTGAGATTCAATTCTGTATTTAAATGTCAGCCTGTTACCGGCATGTTCACTGTGAAGGACCGGAGCGACGTCTGTTTTTAGAAGACCTGATGGAGAAAAGAACATTTTAACCACCATAAGTCTGTTTACTGAAGCGTTTCTGAGCTCTGGTTTGATTTGAGTGAAGATTTCAAAGGAAACCCGTGAAGTTCAGGCGCTGCCTAAATATGAATCTATATTTCATCCGAGTGGTTCTAAATGTTAAAAGAGCTGCTCTCGTTATGAGCAGCCGTACGTAAACAACCCAATTAAAGTTCAACGTTTCCCCTTCAGCGGAGTTTGATAAAACAAGGTTAATTTTATTTGGTTAGTTAAAAAGACGACGTTTGATAAAGCACGGGGTGTATTTTATTCTGAAATGCAACGTCTACGCTGCGTTAGTCTTTTACCTGCAGCTAAAACTCACCTTTGCATTTGTAGCTTCACTGACGGGCCGGGTGTGTAGCGCAATACGTTTTATTTTATCACACGGTGAAAAACACGTCAGGAGGAAGTTACAACTCGGTAAAAAGCGCCGTAACAGAGCCACAAGTAAGAAATCTGAGACAACCTTCAGCTTTATTTCCTATTTTTAATCACGCCAACATTTTGCTTCGGCTGGTCAAAACATCGAAGAGTCGTCGGAGCGTAGCTACGTGGTCAGAGGCACCGGGGGGGCATTGGCCACCTCCAAAAAATTGGTGTCCCACCCACTCTGGCCCCTCTTGAACAAACAGTTTTATCCTTTTAAGTCTCGAGCTTTGATTAATAGAAACTCATAAATCTAAAACGTATAAAAATATGTATTTTATTTAAAATAAAACCTAAAATCTAGCCCCCCTGGATCAGGACAGCAGATCTTAAACCTGGACTATTCTACTGAATTGCTCGGGGGGGGCACAGTTACTGAAACCCAAGAGCTCAGACATGCAGCAGTTATTGTCATGAAGTTTGTTTTACGACTTAAAGTCTAGTTTTATTTGAAAATGGACTCACTGGTGGGCCGTACTGGGCTCATCCGTGGGCCTGATTTGGCCCCCGGGCCACCAGTTTAATAGCCCTGTTTTAAACCGATGTCAACAGCAGGATGCAGCGTCTGTCGAGGTTTTATTCAGAATATTTTCTTTAAACAAACGCAACTCGTTTTACTCTTTTTATACGTCTATAATAACCTTTTTATGTTCAGCAACAAGCAAATGAAACGTTTTGGAATTAAAGGTGGCGACTTTAAACCGAGCATTAGTTGTTTCTAGTGTTTATGTGCCCCTTCAAATTAAACATGTGCGTTTTAGTTTTATTGTACCACCCCAGGATTTTAAGTGCCCCCGCCCCCATTAATATATTCCTGGAGGCGCCCCTGGTCACAGCTGATCCCGTCCAACTTTTCTCCACGACTAAAGCGGCTCAGAGTTGAAATGTCCGGGCTGCCGTTTTCATTTTGTTGATTTCAAAACGTCCGTTTCAGATTTTACAAACGCTCTTTGCTGTTGAACGACGTTTACCGGATCACACCTGTTTACATCCAACAGATCAATTTGAAGCAGGTGCAGGAACTGGACCCTCACGGCCTTCAAGTGTCGAGTCAGAGATGTGAAAAGCTAAAAGCGACATCAGAATCCACATCGTCGACATACAGGAACAGCCTTTTAACTGTTTCACTGCCAGTTACTTTAGTTTACAATAAATGTTGTAAAGGTTATGAATGCATTCTGTAGGTTTTCTTCCTGTAGCCTCTGCACGTTGTGCTGGTTTTATCAACACGGTTTGTGCCGAGGCGTTAGTTTCAGTTAAACTGTATTTGATTGTTCCTGAATTAGTTTTATCTGTTGTGAGAAGACTTTTGTTGTAAACAAACTTAAATAAACTGAACTGGTTTGAAGAAAAAAAAATTAAACAATCTTTTATAATTAAAAAAATATATATATTTAATTAAAAACTATTTAAGCAAACGTAAACACAAACTTTTATTATGAAGCTGTACAGATTGTAACCCGCTAGCTAACCATATGTTAGCCTCTGCAAGCTAATGTTAGCTTTGAAGTTTTGGGCATTCAGACAAGATGTATCTTTAAGAAGTATGAATTAAATTAGTAAACCTTAATTTTCTATAAGAAAACTAAA